GAGCAAAAGATTGTCTTGTCATATACTGAGCCTTCCCGAAGAACCACCTACCTAACTTCTCCCCTGCAGAAGCTGGGAGTTCACACACTTTCTCCCTACTAATAATCTGCATCTCTGTAATATGAGTGTTCATCTTTCACTGAACAGGTTCAAGCATAGGGCTTAGCACAGAGCAGGAGTTCAGATATCGATCTACTCATTATTAGATTTAACTTCATGACAACTTCAAAAGCAACAGCTTCAGAAGGAGCATGAAAAAATGGGGAAGGTAAAAAGGCACACATCTGGTTTCATTCGGGAATCCAAGCTGTTAATAAAATTCTGCATAAATATATCAGCCACGTACATCTCTTCTGAAAAGAGGAAAAGGCATTATCCTTTACTGTGGCATAATATAGTTTTAGAGATACTTACATTGGATAGTAGGACGGAGAGGAAAACACATTTTCATCTTCAGATAGGCGAGGATTTTTTTTTTCCCAGTACAGGGGATTGAACTCAGGACTTTGCGCTTACAGCGCAGGCATTTATGCTGCTGAGCTATGTCATCCCTGACCCAGGTCAGGGCTTTTTTCCCCACATTTTAATTTGAGACAGATTGCAGATTTTCTAGTAAGCAAACACCCTCAATATGTTGATTATTGATATTAGTATTAATATCCTGCCAATAATGATGTAGTACTTTAAAATCCTATTTTGTCTAACCTTTAACTCTTCAATATCTTTGTGCCTAGTAAAGTTCAAGCCTACAGCGGTCAGCACCTGTCTCCCAATGGCCACAGCTCACCCCCAGCCCCTGCTCACTCTGCACATTTTCCCTAATGGTCTTTTTTTAAAGGATAACTTAAAAACCTGTCCTTTGGTTCTAAACTTTTACTTTGGTTTAAATATTGCAAGAGAAGTGGCCAAGTCTACATCATTAGGCACATGACTAACCAAACCTTTAAAAAAATAGAATTCAATTCACGCTGGACTTCTAAACTGGAGTTATCAGCACAGTAGAGCAAATCTCCAGAGACGGCTGGAATTTAGGGTGAGGGGGCTCTGCTCTAGCTGGAGATGTCACCAAAGAATTGTCTCTCAGCCATTATGTAATATGACCTCACGAATCCAAGAATCAGAGCACAGACTATCACCAACTGCTTTTTAAATATACCTTCTCAGTCAGAATTAGGATTATATTCAAGACTACATGGCATACCCAGTGGTCCTTCAGTCAGGACAATAGCGTCAGCGTGTAGACTAATTACCTGAAGTATGACCAAAACTTATGGTGACAAATAAAATTATCACAGTAAAAGCCACATTATAATTAATCCTCTTCACATTGAACACATTCTTGCACTCTTGCCACTTTCTGAAGAAGCTGTGAAAGTCTCTTGTAATGAATAGCTTTATGAAGTTGATCAAAAACATGTTGCCTAGTGCTATCAGATATAAAGGCGGGTTTGAGGAGACACTTTCTGTGACTTCTGACTGTTCTCTAAAGTCAAAGTGACCTGAAAGGTGAATGTTCGGAATGAATTTAGGACGTTGAGGCAGCCCACGGCAAATCTAAAGACATGCACGCAAAAGGACTTCCAGAACTGCTCCGGAAGGCCAAAAATTACAGGTGAGTGAGTTCAAAATCAGAGGGAGTATTTGCAGAAGGTGTTTTTGGATCTTTTACTGTAATACGTTTAAAATATTTAAACATTAACAAGGGACTGGGGAGATGGCTCAGTAGAATAAGCGCTTCCCTGGCAAGCACAAGGGCCTGAGTTCAATCCCCAGTTCTGAAAAAAAAAAACAAAAAACAAAAAAAAAAACCAAACACATATTATTAAATCAAACTGTAGAGCAAATCTAAAGATTAGCAGAGCACAAAACAAATGTATTTCATTCTTTTTCTCTTCAGTAGCGGCTTTCAAAGATCTTTCCAAACTCGTACAGTACTCGTCTATTTTCTCATATTAACTTCAGCCTGTTTTAAAAGTGACTATACTTTTTTCTTTAGTTATTACAATTTTATAATTATTGTATCTTTTAAATTGCTATGGTTACAATTAAGCAAGCCTGACCTTTATTCTGTAGTGTGAGAATTGTCGTTAAATATTTATATTTACTGCACTCCTTACATCTAACCCACCCTAACCCCTCAAAAAAAGGGAGGAGCCCCGGCCCCAATAACCTGGACGGAAGAGCCACACACCAGGGAACTATGGTGTCAATATCTTTTTATTGACTAAAAAGTTAGAAGCATGACAACTGCCTTTGCCACCAGCGTTATACACTGATTTACATGAAGTCCGCCCTTTGGTTCGCATCCAGCTGTTCTCTGTCACAGGCAGGAAGGGGGTCCTTCTTCCAGCGAGGGGTTTGACTTGGGATCAAACACAAGCCTTGGGAGATGAAGGGCTAATGAGGAAATCAGGCGCTAAGGATTTGGTTTTGTGATCTCCCTCGGTCCGTCCTCACCGGGAAGTGGAAACCCAGGACGAGGCACCCGCACTGTGGACCCTGTCCGATTTGGCTCCGGGCGCTTTGATCTCCCTCATCTGCCTAATCAAGTGCATCTACTGCCGGGACCCGCTGGATTCAAAGCGCCACGTGAAATAGCTTGAGGATGGTCATTCCCCTCTCTCCTCCACCCGATCTAATTTCCAAATCCCAGTCTGTCGCCTCCGTCTCTAAACTTCCCATCAAACGAGGAATCAGTCCTTCCCCCTTTTTATCCTCGTTTGATGTGCAAATTTTCTTCTCTTTGCACATGTTTCTCAAGGTGAAAGAGAGAGGTCAGGGAGGGGTGGGGAGAAGCAACTGGAGGAATCTGCAGACCCCACGGAGACCCGCAGACCGCGACGCCAGCGGCCGGGCTGCAGCTGCACCTGGCCTTCCCGCAGACCTGTTCCCGGGGGTCTCCGAATGGTAGACCCGATTATTTTTTTAAACCGCATACTGTTCGTATAGACAATAAACGAATACTGGCTGGAGAGGGACAAGAGGGAAAAATGGTTCTGCAGTGACCTTCGCCACCGGGCCGCGAAAAGTATTTCAGATGCAAATAACAGAGCACTTGCTGCGGAGCCAGCCTGAGCTCCCCAGTCTCTGACTCACAGCGATGCCAAAACCGCCGCTCCCCGCGCACCCCGCGCCCTCACCTCCAGGCGAGCGGACCGGCCGCGACCCAGGGGAGGCTCGGAGAGCGGCGTCAGCGCCCCTCCCTCCGTGTCCCGCCGCCCCGCCGGCCCCTCCCCGTGCTTTGAAATCCCAGCCCCGCTGTCGACCCCGGGGGCCGAGCGCCCTATAAAGGCGGCCCCGGCCGCGGTGGTGGCGCGGAGCTGCAGGCGCCTGCAGTCTGGATTCGGGGCCGCCCCGGAACCGGGCTGGGACCCCCGCGCAGCCAGCGCTTGTCGGTGGGGCCAGGCGCCGCCGGCCTCGCCCCGCTCCCTGCCCGTCTCGTGTTCCTGTCCCTCCGCGATGCCTGCTGCGGTCTCCGCCCGGCTCTGGGTCACCCTAGTGGCGGTAGCCCTGGGCGGGCTCCCCGCGCCGCCAACGAGCGCCACCATGAACTCCGTGCTGGTCAATTCCAACGCCATCAAGAACCTACCCCCGCCGCTGGGGGGCGCCGCCGGGCACCCGGGCTCCGCAGTCAGTGCCGCGCCGGGGCTCGCTTATGAGGGCGGGAACAAGTACCAGGCCCTGGGCAATTACCAGGTGAGGGCGCGCGGGGTCGGGGAGCGGGGTCTGGGGGGGCGGGGTCCGAGGCTCGTGCAGGGCGCAGTGTCTGGGAGGGTAGCGTGAAGCACCAAGGGCACAAGGATGCAGTGCATGAGGTGCGGCGTCCTGGGACCACTGCCTGCGTCTAGTGGCCAAGGAGCTTGGAGAGGCTGGCGGCCCGGCGCGGTGTTCGGGAGGTACCATGGGGTAACTGGGGGCCCTAGGGTCCCGAGGGACGCGCGGGGTCCCTAGCGGACGCGGGGTCCCTAAGGCGCGGCCCCAGGAAGAGAGGGGTCCGTAGTGTGGTGCTGCTCCTCACGTTCTCGCTGCCCCGCAGCCCTACGCATGCGCACAGGATGAGGACTGCAGCGCGGACGAGTTCTGCTCCGGCCCTGCCCGCGCGGGGGCCGGGGGCACGCATGTCTGCCTCGCCTGCCGGAAGCGCCGCAAACGCTGTCTGCGCCACGCCATGTGCTGCCCAGGCAACTACTGCAGAAACGGTGAGTCGGGCTCGCCGGCTAGTGCTGGCGCCGGGAGCGCCTCTCAGTGGCCCTGCTCAGTGGACCCTTCAGTACAAGTCTGCCCAAGGAGACCCTGGGGTTCAATGGAGAAACTGGCTGGGGGAGGGTGCTGCGATCACTCTCAGTCTGACACCTTGGAAGTGAGCGACTCCTTGGTACACCTTCCATTTGCTTTTAAAGTGGCTCTCAAGACTCCACTATCCTGGCCTTGCAGTCGCTGTCCGGGGATGTTAAAGCTGCCAACACCTAGGGGATGGGCTGATTCATCCTCGCCGGCCACTCCCCTCCCCCCCCCCCCACTAGGGATTGAAACTAGGCCCTTGCGTTTGCCATGGAAGCGTTTATTCTACTGAACCATCTCCCCGGCCCCACTGGCCACTTTTAAGGGCGATCCCTTGTCTTAGCATCCGGCCTCTCCATTTTCCCTTCGCCCGCCACCCGCTGCTAAAATAACTGCTCCACTTCCCAACCACAGATCCACAAAAATTTAACTTCTCAAAGAGGTACTCAGACAACCAAAGAGGGCTCCAGAAATAAACTTACAGGGTGGCTACGCTTTTTAGGACAGAGCAGTACTCTAGGATGAATTAGCTGTCTCTATAATATAGAAATTATACAGTGGAGTAACTAGTGGATGAGATTGCAGTCTTCCAGGCAGCTGGAAGTGGATTTGTTTAACTTTGTACCCAGATAGAACCGTAGGCTGAGAAGTTTTATTTTTAAGAAATAATTTTAAGTGGTTGGTTTTCACTTTCTTATCCTAGTTTGATATTAAAATGGGCAGCAGTTTCACCGCCACTATCACAGTTATAGGGACAGTATTTTAAAAGGGTTGTGATGGGGTGCTGCGTATGATTATACGGAGTTGATTGTACTGTCGCTGCTACTTCTGTCCCTTTGGAGAATTTGGCATTAATAAACACCAGGAAGGAAGTTGGGCAAGTTTTTGAAAGAAAGCCACTAGAATGCACTACCTGAGGTTGCTGTAGGCATCACTGCTGCTCCTGTCCTGGCTGGCTGGTAGCTACCGCACAACACCACCTTGGAATTAATTGCCATTTCCTGCTTCATTAGGAATATGCATGCCTTCTGATCACAGTCATTTCCATAGAGGGGAAATTGAGGAAACCATTGTCGAAAGCTTCGGTAATGATCAGAGCACCTTGGATGGTTACTCCAGAAGAACCACGCTGTCTTCAAAAATCTATCACACCAAAGGTAGATCAAAACACTTTAACACCCACTCCTCGTTTTTAGCACATCAGAATTGTCTTTTGAATGGTCTTAATGACATGATGAAGGTCCAGCAGTAACCCTACTCTTCTTACTATCTCCTCCTTCACAGGGCAAGAAGGTTCTGTCTGTCTTCGATCATCAGACTGTGCCACTGGGCTGTGTTGCGCAAGACACTTCTGGTCCAAGATCTGTAAACCTGTTCTCAAAGAAGGTCAAGTGTGCACCAAACACAGGAGGAAAGGCTCCCACGGCCTAGAGATATTCCAGCGCTGTTACTGCGGGGAAGGGCTGTCTTGTCGGATACAGAGAGACCACCAAGCCAGTAATTCCTCCAGGCTTCACACCTGTCAGCGACACTAAAGCGGCTGGCTCTCCAAAGGAAGTGGACTCCAGTCGTGTAACATATGCTACGAAAATCTTCTATAATCTATTGTCAGCTCAATCTTAAAGGATGTACACATTTCGTGGCTCTAGTTAAGCATTCCAGTACTGCCTTCCGCAAAGTGGAGTGTGAGAGCTTTGTTTCTTTTTGGAACTCCCCCGTGGTTGCAGTAAATTACTGTGTTGTAAATTCTCAGTGTGGCACTTACTTGTAAATGCAACGAAACTTTTAATTATTTTTCTAAAGGTGCTACATTGCCTACTGTTCTTCTTGTTATGTAAATGTTCGTGCACATGGATGATGATCTTGATTAATAAATATTCTGTGTTGAAATGAAATAAATAACTTTAGCTTATAGTTTCTAAATACATAGCTCTTTCTTGTTTTATTTCTAGAGTCTGGGACATAAAAAGCTCTTGGATAAAAGAGTGATGGGGCATCCAAAATTTAACATAAAAATAACACCTTTTTTCTGGAACCCACCGACACTGTCTCAGTGTTTATTTTGTATTTCTCTCCACGGTCCAACAGTCCTCAAAACAGAATTGAATTTAATAGCATGAAATGTTACAGATAATTTGGGACTGTGGTCTTAAAGAGGTGTGTGTGTTTGTGTGTGTGTGTGTGTGTGTGTGTGTGTGTGTTAGATAAAGCTAAAAAGTGCCATGTATAAAGATGGTCAAACAAAATATGTTGTCTAGGGCCGGGGAGATGGCTCAGTGGAATAAGCGCTTCCCTGGCAAGCGCAAGGGTCTGAGTTCAATCCCCGGTTCTGCCAAAAAAAAAAAATGTTGTCTAAATGTAAGACAATGTTGAGTAAAGATAAGATCATTTATCTTGAAAACTGAAATGACTGTGATTGTTGTAGTCTGGGGTTGTGTTACATTTCTGCATTCAAAAATAGTTTCTAATAATTATTAACTAAATGGCCAATACCTATAGGGCAGGAAAAAAAAAGCCCACTAAAGTGATGCCAGATACTTAGTTGGCACAAAAAGGATGTGTATATGGAAATATGGTTAGCAAAGGCCAATTGTGTGGGGGAAAAAAACTATTATTTTTCTTTTTTTCGGTACCAGGGATTGAACTCAGGACCCTCAGCTTGCCAGGAAGGTCCTTTCTCTACTGAGCTATCTCTCCAGCCTGAAAAAAAAAATTAATTTGAAATATCTCAAATATGCCTTCATCTAAGAAAGAAGTATTCTAGCAACTTTAATTTGAAAACAGTTATTAAATAACAATCATAAAATCTCACATATCCCACTCTGCTCTTGCTAGGTGGGTGAAGTATTATTTCAGTTGAAAACTATTAACTAAAATAAGGATAGGAATATATTGTCCTAAAGCAAGGTCACTGTCATGAAATCTAAGACATTTTTGCAAGTTTCCCTGCCAAGTTTGATAGCCACACTAAGCAAAGGGGAAACCAGCCTCCCAATTTGTACCTTTGCTGCAGTACCGTAAAAGCCTGCATGAAAACCACAGAAGGGTGGGGGCAAGCTACTCACAGGATGGTAGTAATTGATTAATTGTCCAAATGTTTCCTTAAATAGCACAGATGTCCTACTAGGTTTGTTGTTTTTGTGTTCCTGGAAGTGGCTTACTGTCTAGGGACCCAGCCAGCAGGGGCAGGACACAAGCTTCAGTTGGCTCTACTGAGCGGGAGGCTGGCAGGACGTCTGTGGATGCATTCCTTTTGTCTGGAAGTCTCAGCCTCCCCACGGGAGAAACTGTCTTTTTCTACATGTATTTGCTTTCTCATGTGACAATAAGGCCAATTCTAAGGCCTGCCTTCTCTGATGAAGCACCATAGGGGAAAGGACACAGGAGACCCTTCCATCAAGAGAAGAAAAAAAGGAAAGGAGCAGGCTCCAAGGGCCTAGGTCACTGGATCCCTTCCCTGCTACCAGAACCTGCTGTGGCCAGAGACCTCTCCTCTGCACCTCCCTATCTGTGGCTAGAGCTCTAGCCCTGCCTACTGCCTGTCTCAGGACGGGGTGGGAGAGAGCAGGATTCGCAGAGGAGGGATAGGTCTCCTTTCCATCTAAACAAGAACTGAGGAAGAGACTTCCAGGAAAAACAAACTGTACTTTCAGGCAGTTGAGAAAAGTCATCAAAACCATAGGTGTTTTACTAGCTGGAAGGCTGGAAGAGGGCAGTCAGATGAAATACAACCCAAAAGACGATCATTTAAAGAATGTAAAAGAGGAAGATAGAACTGTAAGATACAGTGAATCGTGGATAAAGGCTGATGAAATGTTTCGTTTTTT